TAACGAGTAATCCTCGCGGAATTTTAGATCACCTGTTTTCCACTTCAAATTTCCGTTCTCTCCTTCGTAACATGAATTGATTTTCTACGTGTTCTCTTATTTTCCTCTTTTTATCTACTCAATCCTTGTTTGTCTTCTGTCTCTCTCTTTTACCTTCTCTCCTTGTTTGCCCCCCCCCTCTCTCTCTCTCTTATATATATGTGTGTGCGTGTGTGTGAGAGACAGAGAGAGTGTGTGTATATAAATGTATATGTATGTATATGTTTGTTGTTTGTATACAGATACACACACACATATATATACATACACATATATATTTATGTATACACCTATAAACACACACACACACACACACACACACACACACACATACACACACACACACACACACACACACACACACATATATATATATATATATATTATATATTATATTATATATATATATATTATTATATTACCAAGAGGATACTACAAAAAATAAAGATGCTGCGGTGTTCATTTCAAATTTAATCATCAATAAACAACGAAATACAGAAAAAATACAATAAAATCCGCACGCGAAAGTCAATTACCTGTCAATTTAGGCGAAGAAAAAAGAAAAAAAAATTTACTCCCCCCTCCCCCTCCCATCCAACTCCGTCCAGTTCCTCCGGCGAGTCCTCGGGTTCCCTCCCTTCACTCGGCGACGGCGTTCGGGGTCTGGAAGAGGAGGCTGACGATGGCCTTGGCTGGCAGGTCGAAGTTGATGTAGTTGGTGCCGTCGCCGATGTCCACGCTCGTTGTCTCTGCCGTCTCGCCCCCTGTGTGCGTGAGAAAGGGGCGAGGGCGGAAAGGGGGAAGAAGGGGGGAAAAGGGGGCGGAGGGAAGGGGGAAGGGCGGGAGGGGCGGGAGAAAGGGAGAGGGGAAGGGGTGAAGGGAAGGGGCAGGGAAGGGGGGGGAAGGGAGGGGAAGGGGCGAGGGGCGGGAGGGAAGGGGAAGGGGCGAGGGGGAAGGGGAGGGGGGAAGGGGGGAAGGGGAAGGGGCGGATGAAGGGGAAGGGGCGAGGGGCGGGAAGGAAGGGAAAGGGCGAGGGGCGAGAGGGAAGGGAAGGGGGAGGGGGAGAAGGGGGAAGGGGTGAGGGGGAAAGGGTGTGAAGGGGAAGGGGCGAGGGGTGAGGGGAAGGGAGGGAGAAGGGGACATATTTATTTCATTCTGTTTTGGTTTTTCATCAGCAAATCGTCATATTTTCACGTTGCCATATATCCGTTTCGTATCCAATCAACAAATAGCTTTCGCTTTCCTTGCGTAAGAGATAAATTACTTTAGGCTTCGTCTTTCATCAGCAAATCGTCATACTTTCATATAGCCATATATCCTTTTTGTATCAAATCAACAAATAGTTTTCATTTTCCTATTGTAAGAGTTTAACTATTTTAGACTAACGTTCTCCGAAACGTTATCACTCAGCACAACAAGCTACAGATCAACTACCATTACCCTAAACTACCTTATCAACCAAGGTCAAAAATACCCCATTATCCTATTAACTACAAAAGGGGGGGACTTACAGGTTAATAATGACGACGGTGGTTTCGCCCTGATCATTGTGGACAGCTGTGGCCTTGACCTGTTCCGACCCGAAGATGTTGGTGTAGGTTCGTCGCGACCCCGGGCTGATGAACTTGCTGAAGTGGCCCATTCGCCAGAACATCGGGCCTCCTTTAGAACCTCCTGTGTCCTGTTGGTGGGGAGGGAGGGGCGTTTGGAGTGGTGTGTGGGTTTATCTAAGGTCTTGGGTTTTAAGCAATCTTTCTTTTTGTCTCCCTCCTCCTCCTCCTCTCTTTTCCTCCCCCCCCCCCCTCTCTCTCTCTCTCTCTCTCTCTCTCCTCTCCTCTTCTTCTCCTCGGCCTCTCTCTCTCTCTCTTCTCTCTCCTCTCCCTTTCTCTTCGTCTCTTCTCCTCTCTATATATATAATATAATATTATATATATAGATATATATATCTATATACTAGAAGAGAGAGAAGAGATAAGAAGCTAGATATATTATGATTACGTACATATAAACAGCAATAGCTAAGAAGATTCGCTACACCTCTCACCTTTTTGATAATAATGGGAAATCCACAAAGTTGTTGGCCCAGTTCGGTCCTCCTTGCATGTCCAGGGCCATGTTCCAGTCCCCAACCCGTCGAGAATGGTTCATTGTCCTGTGGATCGAAATCCTTTTCAGGTCAGAAAGAAAAGAGGAGGGGGAAAAAGCTGGAGGAAAGTTGGAGGAGGAGGGAAAAGAAGAAGGAGAGGGAAAGGAGGAGGGAAAAGCAGGAAAGTAAGGTCAGGAAAGGAGAGGGGAAAAGGGGGAGGAAGAAGAAGAAGAAAAAAGACAGATGAAGAATGAAAAGGAAAAGAAGAAGGAAGAAGAAAATGAAGAAATAAAAAAGAGAAAAAAAGAAACAAAAAGAAGAGAAAAAGAAAAGGAAAAGAAGAAGAATAGGGAAAACAAAATGCTGATGAAGCGGAAAATGAAAATAGAATAAAAAAAGAAAATGCTAATGTAGACAAGAGAAAATAAGGAAAAGAAAAAAAAAGAAAAAAAAAAAAAGAAAGAAAAAAAAAAAAAGAAAGAAACAAGAAAAAAAGCAAAACCGTAGAAGAGAGAAGCAACACACCAGAAGCCTACGGAACACGCAACAGGAAGACCAATCCTCACATCAATAATATTGTAGGCGTAGCTCTCCGCACGGAACCAATCTCCAAGCTTCACACGCTCATCAGCGCTGGCATCCCAACCTGCGGGGAGAGAATGGCACTGTGAGCCTATTTCTTCCTCTTAGAATGTGCATAATGCCTCGGAAATGGACTGAAAATCACAATAACAAAGGGGATGATAAAATAAAAAAAATCGGAAATTGATATTAAATTGTAGGTAAATTGTCAAATATTAGATTATGTAGATTACATATATTTGATATAAGATTATATCATATAAATCAAAGACGATACTCTACTACCTTTTCCTTATCTAAATTTTGCGCATTTTCCTTACATCAATATTTTTCAAAAAATTCAAAATTCACAATGAAATCACCGAAATCTAGGACTCTCTTTCTCTCCAACAGAACAAAAAAACACCAAACAAACACGAAAAAGAAAAAAGCCACTGAAGAGGAAAAAAACACTCAAAGAAAAAGAAAAAACAAAAACAAAATAAGTCAGTCGTCAGTCAACAAACAAGTCCATAAAAGGGCAATTCACCATCGCATGACTCGGTGTAGAGCAAGAACTTATCGGGGAACATCGCCTGGGTTTCGTCCATCACGCTGGGGCCCGTCCAGTCATCGGCGTACCAGTGAAGGGCGATGCCGTCCACGTATTCGTTGGCTTTAGGGTCCTCCAGAATCTGCAGGGGGGGGGGGGGTTATTGCGGGGTTAGGGATAGTGTGTTGGGGTGTTTTGGGAGTACATGTTTGATGTGTGATTCATCCTTTCTGTGTTAGTGGGGCGTTAGTGTGTGTTAGAGGAATATATTTGTTGTGTGATTCATCCTATTAGTGTTAGAGTGGCTTGGGAAACAGGTTTTGGGGTCCTCCAGAATCGACAGGTGGGTTATTGCGGGATTGGGGATAATGTGTAGGGGTGTTTGAAATTGGTATGTTGTGTAATCTGCCATTGGGTTATTTCTGGAGTATGGATAAAGCAGGAGGTGTTTGGATTAGCTTTGATGTGTGGTTTATCCTTTCAGTGTTGGTGTAGCTTCTTGATAAGTTTAAAAGATCAGCTAACATGTTTTTCTTCCGTAAATAGCTGACTTTCTATTCTTTCATTCCTTCTTAGCTGTATCTTTACCTATACTGACACCTTTGGTGATATAAATCTCGATTTTTTCAGTGTGGCTCTATATATAGCTTACTATAATAATAATAATAGTGATTGGAGAACTGGCTTCAGGGTCCTCCAGAATGAGTAGTTGGGTGATTTCGGGATTCGGGATAAAGTATGAGGGCGATTCCCCCTAAATCTCCCAATGAGTGATTCTGGGATTAGGGGTAGTGTAAGAGTATATTTAGGATAAGGCTTGACGTGTGATTCATCCTCGATCTGCCAGCAGGTCATTTCATGATTAGGGATAATACAAGGAGGTATTTAGGATGTTCTGTGACTCGCCCTTTCAGTGCCTGTGGTTCGGAGACCTGGGTGAACGGAGTAGAAATAGAGATACTCACAGTGGCAGGATACCAAGGCAAGGTGTCGCGGTTGTGGTCATCCACCATGAGTTTGATCCTTCGGAGTCCAGCGGCTTCCAGAGTTGGGCCTAGATTGGTCTTGATCCAGTCTCGTTGGTCTTCGGCCGTCCAGGCACAGGTGTTCCAGAACCAGTCCTGAATCAGAGGGCGTGTGTGATAAGGGGATTCGGGATTTGCTGATGTGATTTATTGTCTAGTTTTGGAAGCGTATACAATTTGTTTACTAAGTTTTCTATTCTAACTTGGATTTATACAATAGAATACATACATATCTTCCATCTAAGAGAAATATTATGAAATCAGCATGATAAAACAAGTTGTCTTTATGAGTAAAAAAAAAATATATATATATATATATATAGATAGATAGATAGATAGATAGATAGATAGTAATAGAAGTACTATATTTATATATTTGGCCATTCTTCTCAAGCAGGTTGTGTGTCATATGAAGAGAACTCCACAGACTTGCACTTCACGGTCTCACCTCGAAGCCCGTGAGAGGCTCATTCTGCGTCGTGAGGCCCCAGATCGGCACGCCCTCCGCCTCATAGCTCTGCACAAACCTAGCGCAAAAACGGAAGCAATCTGTCATTGATATTTCCAGAAGACCGGTAGCCTTTAAAAACCGTTGGACCTACGAGTAAGGCTGATTTCACACCAAGGTGGCACATCGCACGTGGCAAGTGGCAGGTGGCAAGTGGCAAGTGGCAAATGATACGTGGCATAGTGATTTCAGATCAAGGTTACACGTGGTGTCACTCGGTCCACAAGATACACGAGAGCACATTGCACTGTATCCTCCTGCAAGACCACGTGTAATAACCCTGTCATTCAAAACCACGCTCACTGGGCGAGTGATGCTGTGTATCAAATATGTTTGGTGGATTATTTCTACGCCTTCCAAAATGTTTTATTTTTTATCATATATATTACTTTAATATCTTTATATTAACTTGGCTAATTAGTGATGTAATAGCTCCATTAGAAACTGTCAAAATTGTTCGAGGTGGCAAGTCGCAAGCTGAAAAAAATCAAAAATAGGCGTCACACGTAGGTCGCACGTGACAAATGCGACATGCCACGTGGAAAGGTTTCATATGATACCGTTTGTTCGATTTCAAATGGCATGCTACGTGCCACCTTGATATGAAAGCGCCTCTAAAGCTCCCAATTTTCCCGCTAAAAATGACAAAAAAATCCTCATAAAAAACGTGAAGGAAGATTAGTTGCCATATGTCACCAGATGGGCCTACCAGTTCTTACAAATACATAACACAGAATCCGATCTTTGGAGTTTTGATTTTCATATTTATTTATTCACATTTATCTAATATCTGTGTATTTATCTAATTGTTTATCTATTCATCCATCTATTCATTAATTTATCTATTTATGTATTGATTCATCATTTATTCAATAATTAGATTATTCACATTTTTATTCATTTAAACATCTATTGACGTATTTCTTTATCTATAAACTTACTTACTGACCCATTTATCCATTCCCACATTCATCCATTCACCTAATTTCCCTCCCCTATTCCTTCCATCATCGTACTCACTTCACAAAATAATCCGAATAAGGCTGCCACATTTCCTTCAGCAGTCCGCCAGATCCGTTAAAATGCCCGTTTTCTTTCATCCATGCGGGGGGAGACCATGGAGAACCGAGGATGAGAAGGTCTCTCTCGGATAATTCGATGGCTCGTTGGATGTATGGGAGCTGGCGGGTAAGGATTGGGTTTGTTATTGGGAAGTGGGTGTGGGAGAGGGAGTGGGAGAGGGGAGAGGGAGAGGGGAGAGGGAGTGGGAGGAAGAGGGAGAAGGAGGAAAAGAGAGTGGGAGAGGGATAGGGAGTGTGAGTGGGAATAAGAGGGATGGGTATAGGGAAGGAGGGAGAGGGAGAGAGAGAGAGAGAGAGAGAGAGAGAGAAAGAAAGAAAAGAAAGAAAGAAAGAGGAGAGAGAGAAGAGAGAGAGAGAGAGAGAGAGAGAGAGAGAGAGAGAGAGAGAGAGAGAGAGAGAGAGAAGAGAGAGAGAGAGAGAGAGGAGAGAGAGAGAGAGAGAGAGAGAGAAAAGAAAGAAAGAAAGAAAGAAAGAAAGAGAGAGAGAGAGAGAGAGAGAGAGAGAGAGAGAGAGAGAGAGAGAGAGAGAGAGAGAGAGAGAGAGAGAGAAAGAAAGAAAGAAAGAAAGAAAAGAAAGAGAGAAAGAAGAAGAAAAAAGAAAGAAAGAGAGTTATTGTAATATTCATATAACACAAAATAAATACACGTAGCCCAATCTATCTGAATCATATATGTGTCCCACCTGTTAACATCTTTTTAAATGGTTTATGATAATGAAAATAACAATGATAATTGAAATGAAAATGACGATAACATTAATAATAATAATGATGATATCACTGTTAATGATGATAATTATTATGCAAATAATGATGAAAACAACAACACCAGCAACAACAACAACAACAACATAATAATAATAATAATGATGTAAATAACAACAATGATAATGATAATAATAGCGATAATAAAGATGATAACAATAATAGTAATAACAATAACAGTAACAACAACAACAACAATAAAATGACAATGAAAAAATAAATGATAATAATAATAATAATAATAATAATATAATAATAATAATATAAATAATATATAATAATAATGAATAATAATGATAGTAATAATAATATAATAATAATAATAATAATAATAATAATAATAATTAATAATAATAAAATAATAATAATAATAATATAATAATATAATAATAATATATAATACAATAATAATAATAATGATAATAATAATAACAAATAATAATAATAATGATAATAATAATAATGATAATAACAATAATAATAAAAATAATAATAACAATAATAATGATGATGATGATGATGATGATGATGATGATGATGATGATGATGATGATGATGATGATGATGATGATGATGATGATGATGATAATAATAATAATAAATGAATAAACAGACAAATAAAAAGGATAACACCAGCAGGAGGACACCCACCGCCGACCCCAGCACTCACCTTGTACAGGTAATCCTCCTCCGTCAAGTTGAAGTGTTTGAGCTCGACGTCGCCCTCGAAATCGTCGTAGGAATAAGGGCGAGTGGAGAAGTCACTCCCGGCGATGGGGACGCGGCAGAGGTTGTACTCGAGGCCCTCAGGGGAGAAGTAGGACCTTGAGGGACGTGGAGAGAGAGAGAGAGAGAGAGAGAGAGAAGAGAGAAGGAGGGGGGG